GACTCACTGAATGTATCATTGTTTCATCTTCACTTCCATCTCCTCTCTCTTCCTCTGGTTGACTTTCTGTGAGAGACAGCAGGAGTTTACAAACCATTTGTACATTACACATCTTGGCTAGGTACTTTGTATACACTGAATCTGCAGTGACAGCCTACCTGAAATGTACAGAACGGGACTCTCAGTGTCTTTTCTGTAAGTGGAGAACATCATCAAACAATTATCCTCTAATTTATTTTTACGGAGTGACCAGACAAAAGAGAAACTGAACATCTCAATGCAGTCCAGTACAAAACTCCTCTGATAAAAACTAACATTTAAGGTACTCAGTAATGTTGACTGAGAGGTGATAATGAAACTGTGGTCATGCTTGAGGCTTTAGCTTGTATCTTTGTTATACTGGATTGCATTTTAATGTAACATCTTTCAATCTACTGCAATACACCACAAACTACAGAACACACCACAGAAATGAGTCAACACAGAAAATATTAGCTTCAGCAACATCACACAGTGTAAAACACAAACATCACTGCAAACTGTAAATATCCTAAAATAAAATTAGTGCACACTTGTTTTCAGTTTATCACTGAAATTTGATCTCACCTGATCAACTGCAGAGAGAGAGGCAAAAAACAAATGAAAGAGAAGAAAATTTATTATTATAATATCATTGAACATCTCTAATGATTGTGTTACATACTGAGGAATAATCAAAGATTAGACTTACTTCGGGCTCGTAAACAGAGTTTACACAGCTTTCTAAATCCGTCTCTAAAGGGGCAAATATTGCCATGTCTGAATCAGGTATACTGTCATCTGTAGAAGAAGGGAAAATAAAATAATCAGTGTTTTAACCGCTTCATACAAACGTATACAAAAAATTTCTCTCATGTCTTGCATGTGGGTTCACCTGAATCTGAAGAATCATCTGTTTGTATGACTCTGGGGCTTTTAAATTTACGTTTAGAGGGCGTTTCGTCTTGTCTGTGTCTGTGACAGAAAGGAGAGATCAGTCATTATAACAGTTATTACAGTTAAACAGTTTATGGAAAGCAAAAAGTGACGGGGCTGAATGAAACAGGAGGGAGGTAATTGTAAAGACTACAGAAATGATTGGAAAATCAAAAAAATATTTCAACTTTAAATTGTCCACCACTGAAAACAGAGGTGCATTGGAGAGAAGACAAACAAACCAATACTGTCCAGCTGTACTCGCTTTATTCCTCAGACCTTCATCAGGCTACGTTGTCACTAAAACTTAGAGAGATCTTCTTAGAAAAGAGTCTATATCTTAAAGAACAGCAGAATTATCACACACTTACTTATCACTGGGTTCACACCGTCTCTGTTTCAAAAAACAAAAGCAGCGTTATTAATCACTGAATCATTTTTTAAATAAATGAAATAGTATTAAAAGTTTTATTCAAAGTGACTCTGAATAATATGGGCACCTTGGAAGATGAAGGTGTTGCATTGTTAGATGAGCTGGAGTCACTGCTGTACGCAGACAATGGTCTGGGGGCTTTAGCGCAACCTGTCAAGAACAGATATTTAATGTGTGATATTAAAACAAAAAATAATTTAAAACACGTGCGCTCTGAGCAGGACTTACCATTAGAGTTCCTCTTGTGTGATGAAGGAGCATGTTTGTCACAATATAACCTACAAACAGGCATGGCGTGCTGTTACAGAGCAGATTAGAAACATAGAAATGTTTAGTTATCGAGAAAGATGGGAGCATACTTACCTCACAGCGTTATTGGACAAACTATCCAAGCTGATGCTTCCTTCTGTCTCCTCACAGGTAAGGCAAAAAACCTCAAGGAAAAATAAAAATGGATATCATTACTTGCCAAAACATTTTTGGGGTCAGATAAAACCCTTCTGTGTATTCTGAATTTTCTACTCCCAGAAATGAAAACAGAAATTTAAAAAGAAAAAGCAGATTATTGGGCCCTTTTAAGATTTCCACTTTTCAAAGGACAGTTCACCCCAAATAAAAAAAATACTTATTTTCCCTCTTACCTGTAGTGCTGTTTATCAATCTAGATTGTTTGATGTAAGTAGCAAAATGTCAGGGTGCCCAGTAGTTCACCTGGTAGAGCAGGTGCCCCATGCACAAAGGCTCCGTCCTTGCCGCAGAGGCCAAGGGTTCGTCTTAGACTCCCTCCCTCCCATTTTCTGCTAACACTGTCCTATTGATTAAAGGCAAAATGCCCAAAAAATATCTTTTAAAAAGTTGCTGAATGTTGGAGATATCAGCCATAGAGATGTCTGCTTTCTCTCCAGTTTAATGGATATGGGCGATTGATTATACAGGAAGGTTAGAGTAAGAAAGCGATGACGTGGTTGCCTGGCAACAATAAAAAGGCGCAGCATGCGTTTTTTTTTTACTCGTGGCATTCAATTAAAAAAGTTTTGCAACCTGCAAAACACTTTCTGTGTGAATGGAGCCTTAATGTTTACATCTCGCCCTGTCACAAGCATGAGCCTCTTGTCCATGAGTAGATGCACTCTTCCTTCTGCGCAGTGATACGGTTGGTGAGTGTGGTTTGGTAGAAAGAAAATAGTTCCTACATGAAACTGCTCACAACAAGGTCTGTGGATTATCTTGAGTAACTGAATAGTGAATTCTAGAAAGAAAAATTGCTGTTGAGTTTTTCAAATTAATTTTTGTGCCATCTAGTTCCATTATATTGGAGAGATGGCAGACATCTCTAAGGCCTTTATCTCCAACACTCTGCAACTCACACCAGAATAATCTGGATTGATAAGTAACAAGACAGTTAAAATATTTGTTTTTGATTTTGGGGTGAACTGTCCCTTTAAGTGGTTTGCCTTAAGTGAATACAGTAGAAACATTCATCAAGTAAAAACTTATCTGATCTGGGTTCACTGGGAGTTTTGGAAGTCCAGGACTTTGTATGGGAAGATGGGCGTCCATTTACAGAGCCATTGTTTTCTGTACATGAAAAAGAAAAATTAAACCCACAAGAAGTCAAACACTAAAAAAAAGTGATAACAGGAAGAAGGCAAAATTTCCACCTACCTTGAGCTTTTGGATCGTGTTTGGGACAGTACAGCCTGAAGCATGAAAACACAAACCAAAATAAAAAATTCTTTCTTCGTACTGTAGTGCAGGATGTTTTAAAATGCAAGACCATTTTCTGGACCAACAGGCAAATGTTTATGTTGTACTCACACATATTTCTCCTCCTTTGTATCCTCAATTATGATAGCTTTGTCTTAAACAGCACACGGGTAGTGGTAGGACATCTTGCAGCGTTTAACCTCACACCCAGCAGTGGCACCACTTTTGGTACATCTCTTACAAACCTAATGCAAACAAAAGCGTAACACAACTAGAAACAGCTTCCAGTACACAGTTCATGGATTAGACCTATTCCTATCTGCAAATGTCAGTAGTCTTTACCAGACGTTTTCCTCGTTGCACCTCACACAGCACATCCTCCACAGAGAAGCCAAACAAATCATCATGCTGTGGGGTACTCTGGCAAATGATACCAGAGGAAAATAACTAGAAAAACAAAAGCAGAAACAACATGAGTGAGGACAAAATGTGTAGAACAGTGAAACTGTAATTCAAAGATACACAATCAACTGTTTCACTGTAGGAGCAGGAATAAACATCAGCTGTAAATGAAGACCTTGTTGGACATCCATACACTAAATCATAAATGAAGGACAATACTACTTTATCCAGTGTGACATACACATTTGTAAACTTAAATTTTGACCTAGTCCAAGTCAACAAAGCTGTGTAATGTCAATCTAGATATGAAATCTGAAGCTGAGGTCATATTGACTGATAAATGAGCCAGGCCGATGTACAGAATTAGTTGATATGTGATGTATCAGTATTAGGGAATATGTCAGCTGATTTGTAACAAGAAACTGCAGTACAGAGACCAAAAATATGCAGTATGTGATTTAGAAACAGTAGGGATGCATGATAATATCGGCACATCATTGGTATCGGCCAATATCGGTTTTTCTTAGTTTGTACAATGAATTAATATTGCATACAATGAAAAGCATTGTACTTCCTGTCTTCATCGGCTGGTGGGCCATCATGATAAAATAAGCTTTACTGGCCAAGTATGAAGTGTGCAATATTTCCCTTAAAAGCAGGGTTGTCAGTCTCATTTATGTTCATAGGCCACACACGCCCACTTTGATCTCAAGTGGGCCACACCAGTAAAACCATTGCATAATAACCTGTTTCCCTCTCTTCTAGTGTAAAGAAGTGATGTTACAAGTTGCTTATTCTTAAATCAATCGCAATTAATGAAGAATCCATTTATAAAACAAATGATGAACAGTCTTAGATGAAGGTTGAAGGATGAAATAAAAATAAGTGCAATTTCAACAATTGTTTTTTAGCTAACTCACCCTCAAAGTAGTGCTCTGATGGGGTCAGTCCATAGGGACTTGGCTTGGGGAACCTAAAACTAAAACAATACTTATGCTTCCTCAAACCTGCCAACAACATGAGTTATCTCCCATGTTCTTCCTTGCATGATTTATTGTAGTTTTTGCCACAATGAGTTTGATAGTGGTGCTGAATAAAATATTCCTTGAGCACTGAAAGGCGCTGTGAGCATACCAAGCTTCCGATTTGATAAGAATATCGGTGCATTTAATTGAAAAAGTAGAATTAATGACTTGTCTGCAATGTTTACCCTTCAGCCCCGTTTCCACCAAACACTTTCAGTATGGTACCTTTGGAACCAAAAGTAGCCCTTCAGACATGGTGACCTAATGTTTTCACTGCAAACAGTACATGTTTGAGGGGTTGTAGTCACTCACTGTTCCGGCTAGCACTCACTGCATTTCCTCATTACTGATGACACAGATGGAAGTCTGCACCTCGTTCATCGTCCACAGAACGAGGCTGCACGCTGACATTTTCAGGACAAAATAAAACAGGCTGCAGTGAGAGTCTTTCTCCATGGGATATCTAAAAATAGTGGGTTTGTGCATTTGGTCCTTCTCAGGCAAGCTCAGGGGTTTAGTGTTGCTGGAGCCCACAGGAATGACGCTCCGCGACACTTTTTTTTCTCTGAGTGAGGATTAATGTATGCAGTTCACATAATCCGGTTGAAATTAATTCCACTCATTACTAAAAGTGTATGTCATATAAAAATTTAAAGGGATAGTTCGACATTTTGGCAAATTCACCTATTGCCGTAATCCCTATAGTCATATGAGTAAGTACATTACCTGTAATTGTCAGTGCATGCTGTTCTGAGATCAGTGGGACAGAGCTGCCCGCTGAAATGGAGGTGAATGTGCAGCCCCCTCTCTCCCTCAAAACTAATCAAATACACCATCAAATGACTCCAAAACGCTCTAGTGCACAACACATGGCTTGCGCATTCCCCGCGCTATGAAATAATAATGTATAATTAAGTAACATTACGACACATTAAGCAAATACTGGGAACTACTTTCTTGAGTAAACCACTGGGCAGAGTGACACAGTGCGTACCTGAGATAGTGCCGTTGTTATTGCTTGTAGCCATTTGCGGTATCGTCAGCTGGACACACCAGAAGGAGCAGAATGAAGTTTCACGTAGTTCCAACCAGTAATACGAACAGGATGAAACAATGGCTATTTGTGCTGGACATCGACCCCAACACGCCTGTGGAAACGGTCCGGAAAATGTTTGTGTGCTCCTGCCATTTTTTACCGGAGGACTACGCTGAAAGGATGGAGCGCAGAAGCTCAGGAATGGTTCAAACGCTTTTCTTAAAAGATACTGTCATACCATCTGTCGGCATCACAAAACGAGCAGATGTGGTAAGTGATCATTCTGTATTTTGCTCAGCAATCTCTCTGCCGTAACGTTAACGTACCTCCATGTTGAGTATCATTAGCCTACAACCCAAGCATGGTAAATAAGGCTAAAATGCAAATGTTGTTGTTATGTTATGGATAAGTGCTTGCCCAGAGCATATAATAAAGTGACTGGCAATACTTCTCATTGATGGGAATAAACAGACTGCTAGGGAACATTTAATGTTGTTGTTCCTTCAGGAGTTGTGGTGATTTATGAGTGTGGAGTTAGCATGTTCTCCCCGTGTTCCGGTGATTATTTTGAGGCGTACTCTATATTTATATTGCACAGGTGTACCTAATAAAGTGGCCAGTAAGCCCCACATTTACACCACCGGCTCTGGGTCTCCCCTCAGCCCCTGGCTGCTCGGCAGCCTCAGCCTCTCTTCTTGCTCTCTCTTCTTCCAAAACCTGTAACTCTTCCTCTGTATATTCTGGCTTATTCTCAACAAACTTGTTGTTTTGATGACGGGAGTAACTGCACTAAACATACGCTGTTTGAAATCACTCCACCTAGCAAGTACTGTATGTCTGGAATGTAGTTCCGGCTCTGTATTTGGTTTCAAAACAACTCTGTCTTGTAATATTACATTATTATTTCACGGCGTAGTGAATGTGTAAGCTACAAGTTGTCCACAAGAGCGTTTTGGGAGTCATTTGATGGTGTATTTTATTAGTTTTGAGGGAGAGAGCAGGCTGTACCATTCACCTCCATTTCAGCAGGCAGCTCTGTCCCACCGATCTCAGAACAGCACGCACTGACAATTATGACTATATGACTATATGACTATAGGGATTACGGCAATAGGCGAATTTGCCAAAATGTCGAACTGTCCCTTTAAGTAATGGTCAAGGTTGTTAAAGTGAAATTTAAGGTGTGTTGATTGATTCACGTCATCAACTCATGCATTGAGTAACATTGGAAGTAAACGTTCCACCTTAAAAGTTGGCGGCAGTCGGCCCGGTGAATTATTTTTCTCCGACTCCAGCTGCTGCAAGAGGCAGCAAAACATCCTCTCATTTTATAGTTACAGTCTACTAATAAAACTCTCCACAGTATGAACAGTGGTTACATGAACCTCAAAACCAGCCACAACTCAGCCCTGAGCAGAGTGACCGTCCTCTAATGACCAATCAGACTGCAGTGGTCACAGCTCCACCTTTTAGTACCAGATCTGTGTGCTAGGTACCCCAACAGAGGGGGGACCAAAAATGGGGACAGTAGAGAACAGTTCCATTGGTACCATCCACAACTTTTCACAGTGGAAACTAGCCTTGTACCGATTTATCGGCAGTGCTCGGAATCAGGCCGGTTTTCATGTGATCGGCCATGACCTGCGACCGGCCAGTCAGTCCTAAATATGCCGATTTGAAACGCCGGTCAAATTCCCACCGCGCCGCATGATTGACATCGTGTGATATCAGCAGCGCACAAGTACAGCTCAGGCTTGAGCGATGTGAGGAAGGAGACCTCAGGGACACACTGGTTTGGGTAGAACAACTATGGAGTAAATGATTCTGGCCAGAGAATCAGGGTCGAGAGGATACTTTAATTTTCAATGCAGGAGGTTCACAAGTGTAACGTGTGTGTGTGTGTGTGTGTGTGTGTGTGTGGTTCTGAAATAAACAAAAGGAAAAATAGCTTTACACTCAATTCTTACAAATATGCATATACAATCTGTAAACATGGGCGGCTTCTCACCTTAATCATTCGTGCACACACATCAAAAGAGAGAAGGAGAAAGTTGTTAATTGTCCGTGTTAAACTTAACAGAGCGGAGTGGAGCTCTCGCTGTGCCGCTTGAAACTGACGAGGCGCGTGTCTGCGTGCCGAAGATGCATGTGTCCGCGTTCGCGCACTTACTGACGGGAGCAGCAACCTGTACAAATGAAGGTTGGTAGGTAGCCTCCTTTATTAATCTCTCAGGGAACGTGCACCAAATATGAATGTTCCATGGCAGCCTGTCCATAACACTGCATTTTGTAGATGTAAAGCCCTGTGTGAATTTTATGTTTTTTTTTTCCCTGTTAAAATGTTCTAATAAAGGAAAGATAGAAAATACAGCAGTATCTTGTGTGCTGTAAAGTGGTTTGAAAAAAATGAAATCGGAATCGGCCAAAATCGGAATCGGCCGTCCAAACACTCTGCAAATCGGAAATCGGTATCGGCCCAAAAAATTGAAATCGGTGCAAGTCTCGTGGAAACGGGAAAAAAGCTTACCAAACTGAACTGTACCATAACTTACTGCTCGGTGGAAACAGGGCTGAAGTGGGCCATGTTGAACCCTTCTAGCCCACAGGCCATATGTTTGACATCCCTGCTTTAAAGTGTAGATGAGTAGAGGTTTGAAATAGTAGATTGTGCGTGTACCACAAAATATCACCACATCAGATTCTCATAAAGATGCAAAGCAGCTGGCGTCCATTTGTCAAAAGTATTCCCCTCAGAACATGTGTCCTTCATTATCATGACCACATCCTGTAACGGTATATACTGACTGAAGGAGCCACACACTTTGCATGAAGTTTCTATTGGCGTTTTTTGTCCTCTTACCTGCCCCCATCTTTGAACAAGTCAATCAACAAGATAATAACTTGATCACTTCCTACTGCCTTTGTCTGCTTGTAGCTCCAGGAGCTCCTCTGAGGTCATATTTCAACCCGTACCGTAGCTCACTAACTGAGCTAACGTTACATGTTAAAAGCACAGCACAGTAAAGACGAGTTTATATCTGTAGTTAGAGATAAATAACATATCAAAGAACAAACATGCTGATATTTACCAAACAGTTCTGATGAGCTGTGACTTCATCTTTAGTCGACAACGGTCCGGTTATTTTCGTCTCCTCTGACCGACGACAAAGTACACAGGACACGTTGGTACTACCGTCCATTTCCGTCGACTAACTAACGACAGGTTAACTTTTTTTATCTAAAATAAACTGGTAAATTGTTTCCTCGTACAGTTACAGTTACAATCTGCTCGTCTACTACCGCCCTACGTTTCCCCGCCCATTACTTTGACTGGTGGTTGCCAGGTTCTGAAATATCCCCCGTCGACTTCTCAAGATCCCACAGACCAGTTCAGTCTCTGTACAACTAAGTTATTTGTTTTTTTAAATAATTGTAATATTTATCGAGACGATGGAGAAATACTAAGTTACTATCTAAAATAACATTTATCTATTTATTTCGTTTTCTGCCCCCAAAGAGTCAGATTTTGTCACACAAAGTATGAGAACCAGCCTTAAACAGCATGTTTATTATACTGTATGTGTAATTATTGAAACTTTAAGCCTTTATAAGCCCTCAAAGTTTTCAGAAATATCATTGTGGACTTGGTGTCTTCATCGGGAGCTGTATATTCTGCTTCCAGAAATAAAATAGCATCTTTATATGATAAGGAAAACACAACAATCAGTGATCTTACATAAATACATAAATGTGTGGTTTTAATGTATTGTTCTCATTTTCTTTAGATTTGGTGGCTCCCATTCAGATAATCATAACCTTAAACAACTATTAGTTTGCACTATGGGCTATGTTAATTTCATTCTAACACAAACATGTTTAATACATTTTAAAATCAATTTCTTCCATAGAAAGTTTCATGTTGGGCTTAAGTCAAAGATTTTTTTTTCTGTTGCTGAGATTTGTGGCTTTATAAACACATTTTAAAAATAAAAAATAAAAAATGAAAAGAAAAATCTTATAGTGTTTTTCATGGCAATGTTTTTGTCTTTAAAAAGCATAGCCTAAATGATGGGTTTTGAGCAAACCTGACAACCCAGTTGTTCAGTTTCAGTTTCATTTCTGGTCCCACAGACTTTTCTCCTTGAGCTCTCTGAGACCATGTGTTTGATGTCTGCACTAACTCGCTCCAGATGTTTCAGAAATGCACCAAAGCAAGAGGAAATGATCATTATTACACTTCAAAGAGAGATAACGAGACATCAGTGGTGAGAAAAGTGTTGAGATCCTTTACTTAAGTAGTAATACCACACTGTAAAGAAAGACTCTGTTACAAGTAAAAGTCCTGCATTGAAGGTGTTACTTAAGTATGTATGTATAATCAAAAAAATGTACTTTAAAGTATCTAAAGTACAAGTACTGCCCTCCATGAATATATAATCTAATTAAATTATTATAAAAGCAGAATTGAAGTTGAGTTTAAAGTAATGTTTGACTACTTTGCACAGGACTGCAAGTGATGATTATTTTCATCATGGATTGATCTGTTAATATTTTTTAATGAATCAGTTGTTTTGTTTGTAAAAATACAAAAAAAAGTGAGAAGTGCCTGTCACAATCACCCAGGACCCAGAGTGACACCTTTACTACACTTGTTTTGTCCATCCAACAGTGCAAACCTCAAAACAATTACAAAATAATTAAAATAATAAAAAGGAAAGTATAAACAAAAAAATATTAAAAAAGAATAAATAACAAAACATCTTAATAAGCTCTTCATGTGTTTTATATACAAAAATATTTAATTAATAATCATGAAATAAACTTTTCAAATACAAGCATGTTTCCTTCTGAAATGTAGTGAAGTAGAAGCAGAAAGTAGCAGTAAAAAATAAAAAACTAATATAGTGCAAGTATTCCATTTTTTTTTTACTTAAGTACTAGGAAAAAAAACATGTTTACTGTTACAACTAAAAGTCCTGCATCGATGATATTACTTAACTATGTAAGTATAATCAGCAAAATGTACTTAAAAGTATTTAAAATAAAAGTACTCAGTGCAGAAATTGTCCCCTGTAACCACAAAATATAATCAGATTATTATAAAAGCAGAATTTAAGTTGGTTATTTTCATTACGGATTGATCTGTTTTTTTCTCCATTTTATTTTTTTTATGAATCAAATGTTTTGTTTGTAAAAATACCAAAAAAAAAAGTCAGAAGTGCTCAACATAATCACACAGGACCCAATAAGCACACATTGTTATAGTCAACTGGGTTTGAAAACCACTGCTGTAGTATATTTTGCATAGTTTAATTTATTACAAAACATCTTA